AGAGAGAGAGAGAGAGAGAGAGAGAGAGAGAGAGAGAGAGAGGAGAAATATTTTATAATTGGCTCACAGTTGATGATGACAACGAGGGCATCATAGAGAAACTGGAGGCAAGACTGATCCGCCGCAACCCAACTGCCAATTGTTCTCAGTTCCTGCCATCAATGATGCGATTGCTATGTTTTGTATGCATATTTAAGGAATTAAATTGTTTGTATTTGCTAAATTAACTATTTAGGGAAATAATATTTTGTTTAAAATTGGGCAGTGGAGGCTCATACCCCAGGGCCTCTATTGTAGATCTGCCTTATGGCTATTAGCATATCATTCACATAGAAAAACCCAATAAAAGAAAAATCACAATCAGGCCTCTTATAGTAGACACACACATCAAAACCACCCCTATTGAAAGAATTCTTAGGCATGTAGAGTCAAATTTCTTGTACTATTGACCATTGTACTCATTCATCCCATTTATGTTAAGACTAAATAATTTTTAGATCTTAAAAATCTGATTTTTAACTTAAATTTTTCATTGCTTGAATATCTTATATTTCAACACATATATCCAGATTTTTCTTGAAAATCATCTATGAATGAGATAAATATATTTCTATACCATAAATTGGAACATTAGTAGGTCCATAGATATCAAAATGAATGTAATTCATAGTACTTTTAGTATTATGTTTTTGTGAACCAAACTTTACCCTAATCCACTTTCCAAAGATATAATGGTCACAAAAATCAATATTGCTCCTTTGCTTTTCCATTTGGCCCCTTATTTATATAGAACATTAATATGTTGTAGTTGAGGTGTCAAAATCTTATTTTATTTGTTTCTCCAACATATGATACCTCAAATGATTTAGTCATTTTTTCCATAGCAATTAATATTGACCAGAACGTCTTCTTGCCCTTCATAATAACCATCAATGCCCATCTAGAGTACTAAGTAACATGTTTCTTTATAAGTTCTAGTAACATCTAACTTCAATTGCAGTCCTAATGATTCCGTCTCCTATTTTGATTCTAACAATTCCGATCCCAATGTCTTCACAAAGAACATTATACTCCATAATAGTTTTCTCACTGCTGAATTTTATGTATGATTCAAACCAATGCCAATTTGGAACAACCTAAATCCATCATCCAATCATTATTACTAAAATCAGTAGAAACTATTGAACCCAATAATCATCATATCCATCTAACACTGCTAAAGCTTCCCCAAACATCATTTTCCTTTGTCCTTTTTATATCTTCATGGAAAACTTCTTTTAAAGTGATCTTCCTTGTGACAAAAAAAAAAGCATTTGATTTTAGCTTTAAATTTGGACCTACATTCAATTTTTTTTTTCTTCTTGGATCTTCCTACATGCAAACCTAATGCTTCTTCGATTTTTTTTCCTATTTTAGTTTCTATTTCATTGGATTTCGAAGTTATCTAATGATCGTTTTCTAAACATATTTTATAGTTTAACAAAATGCCCATGTGATTTAGCCATTAAATTAAGTATAATTAGAGCATTATCCTCATAATTCATCTTAATCCCAAGGTTTTCTAAATCTATTACAATTTTATTGAAATCATTAATCTCTTCCCTTCAAACATCATAAGCCCAAATAGTTTACCCTTGGTGTGTATCCGATTTTGCAATTTTTTAGTCTTTTACATTTGCTCTAGCTTTAACCAAATTCCTGTAGACTATGAACCTCACGAATGATCTAGTTGTTCAACTGTAACACAAATATACTATATGCCAACTCTATCATTTTGGCATGTATACATTCAAAGAACTCGACAAATTTCTTTCTCAATCAAAAACTTTTGCTTCTTTCATGAACAAGAATGGCTTTCATCTATTTCCACAAAATCAATGCGTTTTTTCATTGAACCTCTCAATCTTAACCTTTGAATGCCCCATTCTTGATAAACTTGCCATTGGCTTTGATTTTATGTTGTCTGGACCTTACCAATTATGCAAATTGCAATCTTTCAATTGAATTGTGAACATTAACCAATATAATGTGGACGGTTATCTAATCAATAGATTTCTTTCAATCCATACACAAACTGAACAAAAGATTTTACAAAAACTTCACAATTCAGAATAACAATCTTTCCATTAAATAAAATTAAACTTTCTCCCTTTCAGAGATTATACTCCTTTTACACAAGAACATGATCACTTGCTAATAAACTAATTTCATAGACTTATAAAAAAAACATAAAACAATAAATTAGAAACAATAAAATAGATGGTAAAGAACTTTTAAAAAAAATCATGAAGGCAATAAGAATGATGTAGTTTTGTGTGATGGATACCAGTATCCACATTGAAATATTATGAATTAGCTTTTATAGATGATCGGTTAACTTATGCAAGCCTTCCACTATTCTTTTCCACAAATTTTCTTCTTAATCTATCTTGATTTCAACTCAAAACTAGATTCCTTGAGGAAGAAAATGAGAGGAACCAAACCCACCACTATATTTCTGGATATCTATTTGTGTGAGGGAAAGGAAGACGAAGAAGACTTTCAACAACCTTTTGGTTTTGATCTTCAATAGCCTAATCTTAGTTGGCGAACTTGCAATCTCTATCTCTTGGCAAGAGCATGAATGAGAACCTCATATTTTCAACGTTTTCCATATTATCAGCCTCCAGACCTAGACCCAAGGACGAAATGAACAACTGAAATATTTGATTTTTCTCTAGCTGTCTTACTTCTGCACTCCTGATTCTTGTATTTGGAATCCCTCGATTCTTTTGCTTTGTCCTAATCGCTGAACATCCCCTGTCCAAAATAAACACAAGAAAAAACTACAACACCACGAACCAGCCACAGGAACAGCTATACAGAGAACATTGATAATAAAAAGTTTGTAATGCAATGGCAACATAACCAACTACTGGAAAATAAAAAGCTAAAAGTTAATTAAATATTATATAAATTTTGATTCACTCTGAACTAATAATTAGGATATTATAATTTCCATCTGAAATCTCACAGTTTATTTTCTTATTCATGTACCCAGTTTAATCCCCTTCTGTATTTCATACTATAGTATTTGAGCGCGTGTTAACTATCCATCAGCATTTTTCCTGTATTTATACTTCTTGAAAGGATCATTATAATAGATGTTTAGTTTTTCTTATGTGTAGCCATAACTATCTTCTATTGAATATTCATGTGAATGCGTCTGTCATTTTTTTGAGATGACTTAATTTGTTAGGCCAACCTTAATTGTTGATTTGTAAAATATATTGTTATGGAAATGAAAATAAACATAATATGTGCAAAAAAATGCTGATGAGTGAAACCACAGGGTTTCCCTTTTGAGCTTATTTTGATTTACAGCGTGTTTTCAAGATGGCATATGTTGGAGTATAATACTGGGAGGAGGCATCGAGGAGGCAAAAGGGAGTCATGATGATTCATCGAACAATCTTGTCCTTAGAATCACTAATGTAAAGATCCAATGGCAAATTGTTTGCTGTTCATCAAAGTATGAATTGTACTTAATGTGTTGAACTAAATATGATTCTTATTTCACACTTTTTGTTCATACTATAGGTAGAACACCACTTTTTTCAAGCTTATCTATTCTTACTGGTTGATGAGGGCATCTCGTGCTTACTCAACCACAACACTTACAAAAAATATGTACCATTTTTTACAATTTTATTTTTTGGCATTCTTAAAGGGCAGTTCATATTGAACTGCCAAGATGGGGCCGGCGGTACCAAAGGGGGCCCAAACCGCCTAACCTAGGGTTGGGAGCCACTTTGGCGGCCAAAAAAAGGAGAGGCTGGAAGCCAATAGGGAAAGTGGATTTAATTAATTAAAAAGATTTGATGTTTTTGTATTAAATAAATAATATCTTATATTAGGAAGTTTTTAAGGAGGTGGAGAGGGCTATTTAAAGGAATTTTTATTGCGTCCTCCCACCTGACGTAGAGATACGTCCTCCCACCGCCAAAAAACTCGGTTTTTGCTCGGTATTGCTACGTATTATTTGATAATAACGAGGAATATCATCATGTGAAGACCAATACCGAGTTATACCGAGTTATACCGAGCAATACCGAGCAATACAAAAAAATACCGAGTTTTTTCTAGGAAAAACTAGGTATTTTTTTGTATTGCTCGGTATTGGTCTTCACATGATGATATTCCTCGTTATTGTTTGGTTTTGCTCGGTATTTCTCGTTTTTTAGCGCGATTTTAGCTCTTGGAGGACGTATCTCTACGTCAGGTGGGAGGACGCAATAAAAATTCTATTTAAAGGGCATGAGGGGGTTAGGGTTGGGCATGTTGGTATTGTTTGTTATCTTGGAGTTCTTTGGTGTTTGGGCTCTAGACTCTTGTCTAGAGATTTTGGGAGAGACGATCCTCCTCTTGAATTGAGGATCAATTGTATATTTACTTTGTGTTTGATTTGCTTTGATGTCCCTAATAAAAATCTGCTGTTTGGAGCATATTTTCTTGAAGTTCTCATATTATTCTTGTTGATTTTTCACCGAGTATTGCTATGGTTGCTTGCGAACTCAAGTATTTCCAAGAGGATTACTTGCGAACTCAAGTATTTCATATCACATTCTTAATCAATATTTAATTAAAATAAGTAGTATGTATTCGGCACTCTTTCCCAAATTCAACATAATGTGGTTTTGGATGCCATTCAAATGATAGGATGTTAGATTCATGCTTTTACTTTCTTCTCCATTTATAATTATTCTACTTTTTATGGTTAAAAAAGTGGATTATGTATGTTTCAATGGTTTTTTTAGCCCTTTCAACATGCTTTTGGGTAAAAAAAAGACAAAAGCTTACTTAATGATGCCTTCAATCGCCACTAGTACTTTTCAGTGTCATGTCTGTTTTCAAATTTTTGGTGAATCTTACTAATTTTTTTTGGCAAAACTAGTTCTTCTTCCTACAGTTGCTTAATTGTTTGGTCTCTGATGCGTAAATTTCTTTTCTCTTTACCACAGGCTGTGGATCGTTGGGTGGTTGATAGGGCCGTTTTACCAATTGAGAACTCTTTAGGTGGTAGCATCCATCGTAACTATGACTTGTTGCTTCGGTATGGCTTACATATTGTTGGAGAAGTGAAGTATGCAGTCCGGCATTGCTTGCTTGCAAATCGTGGTGTGCAAATTGAAGACCTAAAGAGAGTTCTTAGCCATCCTCAAGTATTGAATTAGTTTTTTGTGTAAATGATTCCTTTCATTTGTTTTAGTTTTAATTGTGCTCTTAATGTATGTAAATCTCAGGCCCTTGCACAATGTGAACATACTTTAACCAAATTGGGTGTTGTTAGAGAAGCTGTGGATGATACAGCAGGTGCTGCAAAGGTTAGACATAGGCACCTTTTAAACCTCATGTGATTCCTTGTCATATGGTAAACTAGGAAGCAAGGTCATGAATCTAATGCTCAATTTTGGTTTTTATTGAAGTTTTGGGAGGTCCTTTATTTTCCTAATTTTAATTCAATTCTCACTGTGCATGCTTCATTTGGTTGTGATGCATACCAAGTCAACCAGATTAAATGCATGGCACTCTTATTAATTTGTTCATGTTCTTTTTATAGTTTGTTGCTACTAACCAGCTACAAGATGCTGGGGCAGTTGCAAGCTCCTTGGCTGCTGAACTATACGGTTTGAATATTCTTGCTAGAGATATCCAAGTATGAATCATAGTCTTGCATAACTTGTTGGTCTTTTATTTGGGTATTTGCTTTCACTATGACATGAACTCTTCTGCAGGATGACTCTGATAATGTTACTCGTTTTTTGATGTTAGCAAGAGAGCCCATTATTCCTGGTATTGATAGACCATTTAAAGTAAGTTCGGCAATATATGTAGAAAATGCTATTGTACAGAAGTTTAGCATCTCTAAACCACCTTTTGTTTACGTTGACTGATAAAAGTTATAAATCACGTTGTTTTCCCATTGGTTGTGTAATCATGCTGTTAAACTATGTTTTTGCAAGACAAGTATAGTGTTCTCTTTAGAAGAGGGGCCTGGCGTGCTTTTCAAGGCACTTGCTGTTTTTGCTATGAGGGATATCAGCTTGACAAAGGTAATATTGCTATTTTCTGTTGTGATAAAATATTCTTGTGTTGCTACTTCTTTTTTTTCTGCGCAATTAATGACTCTTATACTTTCTGAGTTAGATTGAAAGCCGGCCCCAAAAGAAAAGGCCTACGCTTATATCCGTTGATGTATGCAGTGGATCTCCAAAGTATATCTTTGCCTGACCCATTTTATGTTTTTCTTCAACATTTATTTCTTTAGATACTAATTTTAGTTCCACCTCCGATTCTTCTGAAAAACCATTACTTGGCGATCATCTTTGCATGGAACTTAATTGAGTTGCTAATAGCTTTTGTTTAACTTTTCTCCAGGTACTTTGATTATCTTTTCTATGTAGATTTTGAAGCGTCAATGGCCTCACAAAATGCGCAGAATGCCCTAAGGCACCTAGAGGTATGCCTCATAGCATAAATTTTGGAAGTATTTGAATAAGTTTAATACATTTGATTATTATTATTATTATTATTATCAGGAATTTGCAAAATTCCTAAGAGTGCTTGGGAGCTACCCCATGGATGTCAGCCAAGCTTGAATAATCATGTTAAAGCCTGTATTCATAGGTAACGAGCATCATTCTTGGATTATTTTATGCTGAGTAAGAATAAGTGCATTTAGTTAGAAGTAATTTTGCCCTCTAGTTTAAGTGTGTTACGCCTATTGGGGTGCCTGCTTAGTCTTCCCATGATGATTATCATCAACATTGTAACTGCCATTTTTTATCATTGAAATCACTATTTACGGTCAATCTTATGAATCCTTCCTTGTAAGTAAATGCTATATGTAGTAATCCTTCAGCACTACTAATCATCTTATCTTTGAACTATCTCTTTTGCGATAAATTAATCCTATCAACCTATCTTTTTTTTGCATCTCTTTGCTTTTCATCGCAAGTTCCTAAACCATCTGATTGATTTTCTTCAGGCCTAATTTTGCCTCTTTTAATAGCGTTCCTAATGGGCTTTTAGAAATGGGAAAATTCTTATTGATGTAAGTTATAGCTTTTGTGGCGGCTGTAAAGACGAGGTTGACTTATATTTTGTTTGCTTGATTGTTAGAGAGATGGTAGGCTTGTACATGATTTCCTCCAGAGATGGAAAGGTGAAGATTAAGACAACCAAAGAGGGAGGGAGCGAAGAGAGAGAGAGAGAGAGAGCATCTTGCTTGCAATATTGATTGAATCTTATAAATAAAGAAAAAGTTGATTACGTATTTATTAAAAATTTATCCTAATACGACATGTGAGGGCATGTCCAAATACAGCATGTGCTGAAATTCCAAGTAACTATGTTCTGCATTAGCTCCCTCATGATTTGTAGCAATAAGCCAATCTTTGACAATGCTGTTGATACGTTGGCTTTTAAAAACCCGTAGTTCTGCAATTCTTTTGTGTTGGACATGCATTAAGGAAAGCGCTACCCGCCTGTGCATCCCATCAATGGTTTGACAATCATTTAGAGAACACTTGTGGCGCTGTTCGTTTAAACTATAACAGGTTTGGATCACTTCATTTTGTGCTACACGACGTTAGCTAATGAAGCTTAAATGCTTGAAGGAGCATGTGCTGTCTTATCCAGAATCTCAAATACTCCTAGTGCTTTAGATTCCTACCCTGCTGAAGCATTAACTTCATACTGTGAAAATCATCTCAAACTAGTTCTTGTTCAGCCAAACTTAACCAAAAGTGGGAAATTCGAACAAAATTAACATAAAATCATTTTTCCAAAGGCATGTAATTTCCAGGTTTTCCCATAAGATTATAGAATATTTCTTAGTTTTAATCCTTTTTCAATTGCAAGTCACTATTCCATTAGCCATTGATAAAAATTTTGGCCTCTTTTTTTTTTTTTCGGTGAATTACATATGTATGTTTTACTCCTCTATATAGTTTTATGATTATGTTAGTTTCTATTATCTTATGTTAGAAATACCGGTTAACTTGGCAAAGTTCTTTTTGTTGTTCCATGCAGTCCTGGTACGAATGGATTGGCCATGTTTGACTGGTAGCAGCTTGCCTGTTCTCAAAACTGGTATTTGTTTATATTGATTCACTTTCAGAGCTCAAACAGCTGTGAGCTTTCACAAATTGAATGAAAAAGTGAAAGTCATTTTTTTCAGTTTATTTTTTGTTTTAGAGTTTAAAATCTTTGCCAGAATATGTAGTTATTAAATGTTTTACTAGAAGAATCACAGCTTACTTTATATTTTATTTTACTTGGTTGGTGAGATCATGTTTGAGGCAATAAATGCTTGAGTATGGAAGAATTTTTGGGGGAGAGTTTGAAGGATGAGAGAGGTTCCTTTTATTTGCTTAAATAATTCCCCAATATGATGTGTAACTGAATCTCTTTTGGATGTGAGATTACCATTTTTTTTTTCTTTCGTAGTATTGAAATTGTCTTTTCTTCTAATTGCAATTATACTTCGTTTGTTCATCATATATGTATCAGAATTGATTTTGACATACTTTGGATTGAGCATTTTTATAAGCGTAGATCAACAACAATTAGGGAGACGATTTGTGGATGAGTTTCTTCAATGAAGTGGAGAAGGGTGAAATAACTCTTGAAATATATTGTACTTGCTAACATATCTTACAAACCACTTGTTTTATTTTATTGTACTTTAGCCTCCAATTGCACCCATACCAGTTATTTCTCATTTAATTGAGCTTTTTTTTTGTTTAGGGTATATTGACCTAATTTTGGTCATAATGGTTCCCAAAGCTACTCGATTTATTTTTGGTATAAGTTTAATACATGGAAAACCAGTCAAATTGTGTTGTTCATCTCAAAGAAAATTCAATAGTTTCTCATTTCGATTAAGGTTTTGTTTAGGTCTTTTTTTTTTTTTTTTACTATTTTTTAAAATAATTTTTAATATCATGTTGCCATGTGGCAACCTGACTACTTGACAAGTCGAACTAATATAATTATAATTTTTTTTTTTTGCGTCGTTTCCAATTTACTGTGTGACCTGATGACCTGATTCGGTCCAAAGCCATAAAGTAACTTTCTATTAAAAGAACATAGGCGTTTTAATGGAAAATTGAAAAATGAGGAGTTTCAATTTCTCTTGTTTCAGGTGCTCTTTACTTTCCGAATTTCCTTTTTTTTTTTTTTTTGTGCTTTAGATTTTCGTTGCAGAATCAATGGCTAAGGTGAGTTTTATTTTTAGAGAAGTAATTTATCACCAAATATGTTTGTTCTATTTGTTATGTATATGTAAAATAAATTTTTTTCTTTGAATAATATATTTTATATTAACATAAATTTTTTTCTTATATAATAAAGTTCTTAGGGTTTAGGTTTAAGTTTAGGGTTTGGAACATTTGCATATTGTTGTAAAATGTTTTCTCACAAGGTTTAGAAACAGGTTTCCTATAAGTGGTCTAATACAAAGCTCTCATCCCATTGACGTTTATTGTAATCATGGTTTTTTTAATGATCTAGATTATAGTTCTGTTGAAGGCCTCAACCAACTCATTAGCCTAGAGGTAGTAGATTATTGAGTATCTCCAGGTAATATTATGCTATCTTGTAAAATTATTGATTTTCGTAAACTTGAAACTTGACCATTATTGAATATGATTCTGTGGGGTACATTAAATCGATAAACGATATGATCACAAAAGAACTTCATGAAATGATATTATGTTATATTTCATAGGAGAATTGCTTCCGTCCACTTTGAGAAGTAATCATTCGCTGCCAAAATGAAGTGATGACTGTTTGAAGAGGCAGGGTCAACCGGCTCGATAACATTCGTGCCCCAACTTTCAAAGTACTACAAAGCTATCGTGGGATGCAACACGTTAGGCGGCTGATGTAATATCACACCATGTACTTGACATTGATAATAATATTTTGCAATACTCATGTAATCGTCAATCATCATAGGCTAGTAGTATCCAAATTTTTTGATTTTCAACTTCATCTTAGAACCCAATTGATGAGTACCACAGCTCGGAATGGACCTCATTTATGATCTTTAGGGCCTCTTGTTTGTTTAAACAATATTGTCACATCTGATCGAATGATTGATGGTATAACATATTGTTCACAAGTGCATACGAGAGAGTGAGGTAGTTTGCTTTATTGAAGGTAGTCAATTAACAGTTGCCTCCAATCACCTTCTTTGCCGGTTGCTGAAGAGGCAGATAGGATTTGTGAAGAGTGCTGGTTGATGTGCTCCAAATCTTTAGGATGACTTGACGACTCTGAATCTCTATAGGAATGGAGTCTTCTTCTGGACATGCAAATTCCTTTGCAAGCTTTGCCAAGACATCCATCACTAAATTGTTTCATGGGAAATAATGTACAAAGTTGTAACATGAATCTTCTTGAGCAAGTGACTAGTGTAGTGGTGATATTTAAGGATTTAGGATTTAAAACTCCTGCAATCTGGTTGATTACCAGATGATGATCATAAAAGATTTTAATCTCTTTAATCTCCATCAAGATTACAAGTTTCATGCCGGTTATTAAAGCTTCGTACTCTGACTCATTGTTCGTGCAAGACTCTAATTAATAATAGGAAAAATGCATCATTCCCTTCTCTGATGTTATGAAAATTAGACAAATTCCGACTTTTCCAGTGATTGTAGATTTTTAGATTTTGCCCCGTTCAGAGAATACCGCACCATCAAAATATAATTATCAGATATGATCGTCAGATTCCTTTAAACTCATGATTTGTTTGTCAGGTAATCATCATTTAAAGGAGAATCCATCGATAGCGGGGACGTTGCTAGGAAGTCTGCAATAGCCTGTGCTTTCACAACACACATGAAAATGAAAGCGACATCGAATTGAAGTAATATCGTAGACTACCATTCCAAACATCCTGATAGCATAGGCCGGGTCATAAGGTATTGTATGGGATTGACTCTAAAAATCAAATTTACTTGACGAGAGAGCACATAATGTTTTAATTTTTGGGCTACAAAAATTAAAGCAAGATAATGTTTCTCGATTGAATGGTAGAAGATTTCCATAAGAAGAAGCCTTCAGCTCAGATAATAGAGAATATTATCTTTCCCCTCGTCGTTGATTTGAGCTAGAAGAGCACCAAGCAACTCATCAAAATTAGTGGTGTAAAGAATAAGATGTTTCCCTTGAATAGGGGCTTCCAAGACTGGCGGATTTGTAAGGTACTATTTGATGCTTTCAAAAGCATTTTGACATTTCCTGTCCCATATGAATTTGCATTTTTTTTTTTGCTAGGAGAGAGAAAGGTTGGCATATTTAAGATGGTCTCAATTTCAGCAGGATCAATTTTAATTCCACAATGCCTCACTACGAAGCCCAAAAACTTCCTTGAAGTGACACCGAAATCATACTTCAGGGGGTTCATTTTGAGGTCGTAGAGGTTCAACCACTAAAAAATGACTCTTAAGTCAATACATTATCCTCTTTGACTTTGACCTTGATAACTAAATCATCAATATAACACTCAACTTGATTGTGGATTAAGTCATCAAAAATATAATTCATGACCCGCTAGTAGGTTGCACCAACATTTTTAAGGTTAAATGACATCACTTTATAACAAAAGATTCTTATAGGGGTTATAAATGCAGCTTTTCTTTCATCTTATAGGGCCATTTTTTATTTGATTGTAACCAGACGAGCCATCCATAAAGGAGAAAATAACACGCGATGAGGTAATGTCCACTATAAGCTCGGTTATGGCCAAAGAAAATTCATTCTTGGAACACGTCTTATTCAAATCCCTATACTTGACACAAATCTAGATTTGATCATTCTTTTTTTGAATTGGTATGATGCTGGCTACCTAAGAGGGATATTGCTTCTCTTGAATAAATATGGCCTTGACCAATTTCTTGATTTCAGAAACAACTTGCTGCTCGATCCCTAAGCACATGCGTCAATGAGCTTATTTGATAGGAATGACATCGTATTGGATTCCAAGTTTAAGAGTTTCTACGTTAGCAGAAAAGCCAAACATTTTGACGTATGTCCAGGTGAAGCAGTATTTAAACTCATAAAGAAGTTGAATTAGATACCTAGACTCATCCTCACTAAAAAACAAGCTTATGAAGGTGGGGTGAGGGTCATCTTCTGTTCCAAGGTTAACCTTTTTTAATTCGTCTACTGTCGATTTAATTTCTTCTTCAAATTCAGGGGGTTCATCTCGAACTTGAAATTCATTAGAGTCATTTGAAGTTTCCAAATAAATTCTATCGAGGGGAGATATAACTTTCATAGGGACATTCTTATATTCAAAATGATAAGTTATCACAAGACAATATTCATTGTCGCCAAATGAACTAATGATACTAAAGCCGATATCACTCATCAAATTTCTCCTATTTTTTGTATACCAGAGGCTTTCATTGGTATCGAGCTTGACCCTTAGTCAATCGACTTGGCGTGGGACTCTTAGAGATAAGACTTCTGACATCAGCAAGAAAATAACCAAAAGGTAATTCTATTAATTCATTAAAATCTACCTCCTCAAGGTTACACCTTCTTTCCCTGAGGAGGAGGAGCCATGATAGAACTTTTGGATTTTCCTCCCTTCACCATCTAAGTTAAGAGCTTCCTTAATAACTAACCCTGCAACCCTGCCTGCAGATAGTGGGGTTAAGGTTAAGGCTTCAATTCTTCTACTGAGTTTTTTGTACATCATTAATTCAGGCTCATCACCTTGAACTTTTGTAGCTCAACCTCAGGGTCACTATCCTGTTCTAAAGTGAGATCAAGCTTTGGATGAGGATTTATTTTTTGGTAATCAAAAGGAATTGCAGCACCCCATTTTTCTTATTCTTCATGGGAACTTGATTTCGGATAAATATACAACAGGGTTATTCTCCTTTCAAATGAAGCATGCCTACCACGTACTCTTTGGGTCATCCTCCCATCTCTTTGAGGTAACCTGCTTGGAGGTCTATAGACCATGATCTCGAGGTCATCTTCACTATCCGATTCTTGCACTTTTTGATCTTTTCCTTTTTCTCCTTTTGATTCTTAATTTTGGTTGGAGCTTTGCCCACTTGTTTTCTCTTTCTTCTTGATCCTGATTTTAGAATGGGTAGATGTAACTTTAGGAGCATAATATGCAACATCCTCATAAATCTCGATCTTTGGAATAGAAAATAGTTGTAGGTCACCCTTAATCATGTATTCAATGTCGTCCCATATGTACTTGACGCATTGATGTAGGGTATACAGAACCATCTTGTATTTATAGATCCAGGGCCTACCTAAAAGTGCGTTAAAGGATGTTATCAAATCAATTGTATAAAATTTCGCTTTGATTTTCTATTCTCTAATCTCTAAAAGCAAGGTGATTGAACCTAAAGCTTTCTCTCCCTTTTCGTTGAACCCGCGCAACACCAACTTGTAGATGTTAAGCTTGCGTGTATCAACTTTAAGATATATGA